CATCTGCCACAGACCATCACAGACAGTGTGATAGGAGGGAACCAGCATGGACCTCTGCCACTGACTCCACACTGTCCAGTTCTGGCCAAGCACAGAGCTGGCTCTCTCCACACACCAACCCATTCACTCTGTTGGCATCAGTGACCCACCACAGCAAAGACCGGTGTCTAAGTCAGAACGATAGCCTGCAGAGAGCAGCAGTGATGTTGTTCAGCTGGTGAGTTGTATTAGAAGAGATAACTAATATGAGCCGAGCAACACCAGCTGGAATCAATACAACAAGATTACCACAGCCCAGCTGACTTCTGTGGACATGCTCGTTACTGAGCACGTCTAAATAGCATCGTTTACACTGTGCACTAATGAGGGCGATGGATAGATGGACGGACGGACAGACGGACAGACAGACAGACAGACAGAGACAGAGACAGACAGACAGACAGACAGATAGATAGATAGATTATTTAATCAGTAATTAAACCCATCAACATCACACAGAACATTCTGCTCATTAAACAAGTTGACGGCAGCTGACAGGAAAGACTTCCTGCAGAGTTCAGCTGCCGACAGAAGATGCCCTAACAAAACGCCTGCAGTACATTAATTACCTGATAAACATTTTTTTCAAACTTAGTGATGCTTTGAAAACAACCTCCAGTCTGCCACCTGCTGATTTATATCCCATCTCGACCAGAGGATGAAGCTAGTTATAGTTCCATTTTTTTTCTAAAAATCAAATAGATTTCAGTCTCTTTGATTTAGACCAGGTCGGCCTATCTGGACCAAAGTCTTTATCATCATCTAACTCTTTAAGCCCTTTTGGCATTTTTCCCCTCCCCCCCCCCCCCCCGGATCCCACCCCCAGACATGTTTAGAATCCGCTATTCCCACAAGAAATTAAGTAAGACTCAAGAAAACTAATGTTAAATACAATCTGACAGAATGTAAGTTAAGCCAGCTCTGAGATGTTGACTACACTGTCTTCCAGTGAAACCACAGGGAGCAGAGTGGTGGTTCAGTGAGTCTGTTTGTGATGTGTGAAAAGGTTGACAGGGTCACTTGAACAACATTACTGCAATAATTGAGCTGAATAGCTTCTCTGTTGTCCTCGCCGTGGCTTTGGTGAGACAGTGTTGGGGCTTTAACGCCTCCGTACCTTCCACTTCTGTTGTTACAAACAAGCGGGATCGCCGAGGGAACCCAGATAGCAGCTAGGTGTAGGGTTATATTTGAATGTTTGGAAGTGTAATTTGACGTAGTTGCTATGATTGTTCATTGTTCCGAGTTCACTGTAAAAAAAAAAAAAGTTTATTACCACAATTATAAACCATAATTACCAAATTATAACTGTATAATGACGATACAGTACAATACAATATAATACAATATGATGTTTTAATATATATGTTATAATATGGTACTGTACGATATGATATGATACAATATCGTATACTGCACCTATACCTATAATGAAGGTACTGCACCTTAACATTACCTTGAAGTATTTATAACAGTTCGGGAAGTCTGATGTGTGATGTCAACGCTAAAACAATGAGTACTGAGACAGATCCTCATCAACTCTTTGGTCTGCTGTCTTGAAGCACCTGGCCCTCAGCTTTGCAGAGAAATGTCAAATCAAATTAAATTCTAATCCTCTTATTGCTCTCCTAAATCAGCAGCCAGAGACCATGTGACCAGGTGGGCTGGGGGAGAGAGGGGCAGAAGCAAATATTTTATTTGCAACCAAAGCTTTTTGTGACGTATTCTCTTTGAATTCACATCAGAAATATATTTTGGGAGTTTGAATGGTTTTAACTAAGATAAAAGAAGATAATCTCCAGGTCAGAAGATGGCAGCACATAAGGATGATTTTAATATCTACAAATGACTACAAACAATTATTTGGAGAAAAAGACAAATACCAGATAAAAACTGCTGTCACCTGGTTTAATCCAACACACATGACCCCTGACCCCTGGACATCTCTACCAGCAGCAGCCGCTCACAAGTGGAACTCTCAAATCATGTTTTGCTTCATTATCTCTTACATACTTTCACACTTTCAGCATACAGTTACTTCATCCCTGCACATAACCCTTGTACTAATGAATCGGTACTAGTACCGTCTCTAGTACCGTCTCTTTCCATTCACCCAACATCCTCTCACTCTCAAAGATTATGTAAAACAACCTGGTCAGAAGATCCACTTCTTTAAAGAACCACAGCTGTGTCATCACAACAGTGAGGTCAACTTCTGTGAGGCTTGTATAACTTCAGGGTCAAAGGTCATGACAGTCATTAAGCTTTCTTCATGTGTGACTTTCATCGCACTATCACTGAGAGGAAGTGTTGAGTCGTCATAACGAAGCACCGAGTCGAATTTTTTGTAGTTTTGGCTGTGATTGTACAATTCTTTTTTTTTCACAGCAGCCATTCGTGGAGTTACACTTTCAAGGCTCTCTCAGTCACAGTAACAATGAAGCTGTGACTTTGACACTCAACTAACAGCTTTGTTTTGGAACAGGAATAATCCACCGTGAGGTCGCCCACTGCATATGAAACAGATGTATCTGTTACTAATCTGAAAGAAAGTGAGGACAGAGACTCAAAATCACAGAGTTCTGTCTGTGCAGCTGACTGTCATTTAGGCTGTACAGTTGGGGGGGGGGGTACAAGGACACAGTTGCACAAGACACGGAAATTTAAAACTGATGTTCAAATGTTCACCATATCTACTGTACTGTACATTTCCATTGCATTTGTTTTACCACCAGAAGATGATCTTCAAAGGCTTTAATATTTTAATCATGCTGCATGACACATGAAATGTCCCATTAACTATTATACAATAAAGTGATAGGGCAGTCATCCAACTTTGTGGACGCCTGCGTCAATACACTGCCTCAATACACTGCCTCAGGATGAGCTAACAGTTGGACTGACCACACCTGACAGTCAAACACTTATCAGCTTCATTACACACAGTCCCCTGATGCAGCTCTACATCTGATTTGAACAGTCTCTCTCTCTCTCTCTCTCTCTCTCTCAACCTCTCAGTCACAGCTTTGAGTGAATGAATGAATTCAGTCAGATCCAACAGACTGATTATTTTCTTGAAGTTGAACTGTGGTTGAATACAGATGGCAGAACTGTTGAGTCAAAAATACTTCTCTATTTCTTTTTAATCAATAAACAGCTCTGTTTTGAAATTTCTTTGGTAGATTTATTTTTTTGCGCACCTGAAAATAATAATTATCAAAATAGACTGGAAGAAATGCAGTCTGGCAGCAGAGGCAGCTCAGACAGAGATGCTGAGATAATGATGTTTTATCATAAAGGATTTGCTGACAGTTAACTGTGCCACTTGTCGGACTCTCTCTCTAAATGTCTATAAAGGTACAGTACGTGGTATTTTGTAGATTATGTCCAGGTTTTTTCAGGCTAAAATCCATGGAAGTACAGGAAAAAGAAAGTAAAATACCTTAAAATCCTATATAATACTTGAAATACTTTGTAGGTGTTACCGTGAGCACAACTTTTTAAAATGTAACTTGAAAACCAATTTTTAAACTGAAAAGCCGAGATCCATCATTGCATTTGTAATGACAATGACACATTTTACTTCAGGCAAAATGTTCCATTATAATGTATAAATGAAATAAATTCATGTTCAATTTGCTGATGACAAAAGAGGAAAATATATATAAACTGTTTTTAATCTTACACAGAGCATCATTAAATTACCCAGGACTCCAAACAACTGGTGCAAAAACAAATAAATAGAATAATCCAAGTTGATGTTGATTAATGGTCCTATGTCATCAGGAGACAGTGTCTCTATAATATTTAGAGTTAATATGAAAGTGATGAGAGGCAGTGACTTGGACAAGACAAATAAAACGATCATCCAAGACACTGTTGACTGTGACGGAGGAAAAATGAAGGTAAAACTGTGTGAGTGATTGTGTGGGTAGATGAAACTGTGAGAATAATCTGAATGAAATGACAGTGAATTAGTTTTGGGGATGATTCTAACAAAGCCAGTCGACTCTTCAGACTGGATGAGTGAGGTCAAGGAAACAGAGCATTTAATTAAAATGTCTGGATCTGAAATAATAATAATAAAAAAATCAGATTAAAATGGGAACAGGAAATAGGCACGATATAAAGTTAGAAGTCAGGTTTTTTAAACAAAATCCAAACAATTTACATGCTGATGTACAGCTAGGTGTGTGAACAGCAGAGGAAGACGAATGAAAGTAACATGACAGTTTCTGACAACTTCACTATCAGTGTTTTATGCCTTTATAAGTAACACAGGCTTGGTCGCTCACACACACATATATAATATCCTGTGATATTATAGTTTTACAATTAAATACTCAGAAAAAGAAGAGAAAGAACGAACAAACCATTTTACAGTCTCAACCATTTGTTTCACAAATAAAGTAAAATAAAAGTACTTTAGAAACGTTTCAACAAATAACTTCTGTAATGTACTGTCAAATAATAATTTTAATCATCAACGTGAACAGAAGGCTTCAAATTGCGGAGATTAGCACCGCCCACCGTGAACGGGAGAAAATTAAAAATGATTATGAAAAAAATACAAATTACCTGGTCTTGTTGCGGGCAGTTGCAACCCTTTTTGAATCCTTATTAAAACTTATTGCTGCTGTCTTCCTTATGTTTTTTTCTTCCTTCTTTATGGAACGAACGGAAGATTCATTAATTCCATAATGCCGACCTACAGCCGCATAGCTTTTACCTTCATTTAGCATGTCCAATAGTTTTACTTTATCACCGATAGACAGCATCTTCCGCTGCCTTTTGGTCCCTACCGCAGGTACTTTTGCCGGTCCAGAGCGTTTTGTCGACATTATGGGGTTTGATAAACTCGAAATTGCAAGAGAATTTGCACGTACGTAATGTCAATTTGGCAAGCTGTTTTACGTACGTGTACATATTAAACCGCAACGTTATTGGCGCACAGGTAGAGAAGAAGCGGAGTGACTTTTTAGCCAATCAGAATGCAGAACACAATGCACGATGCAAATCCGTGAAGTAGCGAAACCGTGAAAAGTAAACCTCGTTATAGCAAGGGATCACTGTATATAGTACACAGTATACACAGTACAATATCACATGATATGGCTAATCCCATGTTTCCTGGACCCAGGGCCAACAGCAGTGGCATTCATCACTGTCATCGTCACTGAAATGACTCTGGTGACCTTTCTTATCTCAACTTCAATGGGTTGATTCAAGGTGTCAATCATACAACGTGACCAATCAAATCCACCCCTGCCCCCACGCCCAACAGCTTTTGTTTCTCACTCTGTTCATACTGCAGGCCTGAAATCAAATAAAGGAAGAGCTGGAGCTCACGACTGAGCTCACAGGGTTCTGAGGTAGAGAATCAATTTTGTGATGTTACAAATCACCGATCCAGGCACCAGCAGTAATACGGCAGTACTGCACGTTGTCTGTTCCTAAATCCAAGTCTAGCTCGGTAGCAATGAAGTGTTGTTCTTTATGAACAGTCTATAATCACAAAAAAAAAAAAACAATGCAGAAAGCTGCAATTTGCAAAAAAAAACCTCACTAAACGCTGCTTCTAGCAGTAAGACAGAAGCCTCGTTGGGAGCGACACTATGATGACAAGAAACAGTTATTGTAAAAAATAAAATGAAGTTTAACATTAAAACACTCTTTAACCTGAAGCATGCCCAGAGTCACAGAGGGGGGGGGGGGGGTCGGGGGGGCACTAAGACATAGGTACATAACACTCAGCTTCTGGTTATTAGACATTATTGCAGTCTTAGGAACAGTATAAACTTTTCTGGAAATCGATGCATCATTTAAATGGAAACAAACTGAGCGTCTGTATGTGGTGATGGCTTCTAAAGAACCAACCACAATCAACTCAGCCCAGAGTGAAATAGTAATGTTTCCTATCTGCGGTGCTGGAAAAGTCGATACTCTATCTGTTATCTAATCTTGTTGGGGTTTTTTTAATGCTATAACAGATCAATATTTTTTTTCTAACTGCCATATGGTGGCGTCACTGAGTGTGTGTGTCGTCTTTATCTACAGGTGTCACTGGACGTGGATCAGCTCAGGTGCCTCTTGTGTAAACATAAGGCTGCCACATCTGCTGAATAAATATTCTACCAGGAATATTAAACGGAGCCTTTTGTAAATGGACTTGAATGCGAATTCAGCTGCGACGTTAAGCATTAGCACACAATAATTAGAGCGTTTAGCCGCAGCGGTGATTACTGGGCTACTGCTTATAATGGGATGTACAGTACTTTATAAAAACATTTTAGTTTTCTTGTCAACAGAAAAAAAAACAGGTCTACTTCATGTCTAAAGGTACAACACCATGGATTAGAACACCTGCCACACAGCTGTGAGTTTGACCTCACCATGAGAAGGAAAATACTGCAGAAAGTCAGGTAGATTTTTCCATTTTAAAGGAATAATCTGAAAGTTTCCAGTAAATAATGCTCTCATGGTAGGTACCAGCAGCAGTTTAGAAAAAGACAGACCTTCATGAACAGGAGGCTGACAAATGAGCAGTCAGTGGGAAAGTGGGAAAAAGTGAGGAGAGGGAGTTGGCTGCAGATGAGCCCTGGAGGACCTGCCCTGTAATCACTGCAAAGCAGATGGCAGACGAAAGAAAAACACTACGGTAAGATGATGCACCGAGGAAGAAGAGGAGGACGAGGAGGGGGAGGACAGGGGGCAGTGGATCAGAATAGGATCCAGCACTTCATTGATCCCCAAATTATTGTTGTTAAAGCTGCTCAAGCAAAAAATAAATAAATAAATAACACTTATATACAGCAAAAGAAAAACCAAGAAAACTCTGAGGCAGGACAGCCCACGTTGGAGGCTCGTCACTTTTCATCCTAAAAGATCCCGCAGGACCAGCCTGCATGTGAACAACGCAGACCCTTTCATTTGTTCCTCTCACACGGTCTGTCTATCAGACACCTGCCTGTTTGAAAGCTAATTGTCTTTGATTTTATGGAAGCAGCTTGTTGATAAAAGGCTGTAGTAACACAGCCCATCCTGATCCGTTGTTCTGCTCTTTCCCAGCGCCTCTTATTAAGATCCTGGTGCTGCAGCACTGATGTTAATTCACAGGTGTCTGCTGTCTGCCAGTCACCATGGTAACCCCAAGGTATGCCATCTCAATTGTAACACACACACACACACACACGAGCACGCACACATATATACATATTTTCCCTACCCTGATTAATCTGAACAACAAGCGGCCTCTGCCGTGGCGTGCTCAGCCTCCCACTGATTTCTGCCAAACAGGAAATTGAAGCTGTCTGGTAAAACCACGGCTTAAAGTGTATAAACAGTTGTTCAGACAAAAAGAAAAAAGAAAGCACTACAGTGCTCTTTGCCACTCATCTTCCTGATTGTCCATTCAGGCTTCAAGGAGCCGATCACTCTAACAGTGTGTGGTCACTCTGTGGTCAGCCGTGTGTCTCCGTCACCAGTTCCAGAATTCCTATCACTGACTATGACTATGTTTTTTTATTCATAATTTTGCAACAATTTAAAAGTAAAAAGCCCGGCCGAATTGGAGTCTTCCGTATTATGTTTGCGTCATCTACATGATTTTCTCTCGACGGAAAAGTGAAGAAAAGTAAAGAATACAAATTGGACAAAGCAAAAAAAAATAGAAAAGTAAAAAAAAAAAATAAGTCTGGCTCCTTTACCCCCTCTTTTTCTCTCGTTCCCAAAGGAAAAAACTAAAC